CCGGAAGGAAGGAGGCCACGGCTGGTGGCCAAGGTTTAGCAACAGCAAAGGATGACCCCTCCACAGCACTGCTGGGCGCTTTGCCTCTCACCTCCACCTTCCACCTCTCTGTCCCTGGTCCCCCCCACAGAGCCAGCATGCTGGAGAAGGGGGAGGATTCTGTGCACACCATCAGCCCAGCCTCACTCTCTGTCACCCCGAGGCCTTCTGAGGCCAAAGGGCACCAGCTTCCGCGGGTGCACCCCCGACCGGCAGGACACCGCAGCCTGCGGCTGTACTGCACCAAGTCCCTCCGCTCCCAATACCGCGGTCGCTGCTGCAGGCCGGCCTCCCTTCCCCACAGCGGCCACAGCCCCTCCAACTCTGCCCCAGCTGGGAGGGAGCCCTCGGGCAGCGGCACCCTCCGGGAGTCCAAGCTCCTAGCCCCCTTCTCCCCAGGACCCCAGAGTCTGAGACAGCTCTCCACCCTCCATCCTGGGGACCAGGCAGGCTGGACCCCCAAGTCCCTTCTGTGTAGAGAGACCCAGGAGTCTGGGTAACCAGCCCCTGCCCTTTGAACACCCGAGTCCCGCCCTCTGCCCCCAGCTCCCCCTGCCCCCGCCCCAAGTGTCCCCTCCCCTGGCTCACCTGTCTGTCCTTTGCCCAGCGTCTTCTCCAGCCGATAGGGGCCCACATACTGGGCGTGCTGGGGTGGGTGTGGGTGTGGGTGCGGGAGGTGGTAGGCGGGGGAGCCCCCGCCTCCCTCCTTGGCCCCGGACGACATGGTGCCCTTGGTCCCGGCCCGACCGGCCCCCCGGCCGCCCCCCCTACGGCCGGTCGCCCCGTCTCTCCGGTGGGGGCCGGCGACCGCTCCGTCCCGGCCCCCCCGGCTGCCCCCCACTTCTCCGGGGGTCCCCAGGGGGCTGGGCTGGGCCCCCCCCAGTCGGCGGGCCGCAGAGCTGGGGGAGGGGGGGCGGGCCCGGGGGGGTCAGGCCCCGGGAGTCAGCATGGCCCGGGGGGGCTGCGTGGCCCCCCCTCCCCAGCCCTTCCTTGGCCGGCCCCCCCTTCCTGCGCCTCCCCCTGCCGGGGGGGTCTGAGGTGCGGGCCGGCTGATGCTGCAGGCCGAGGTCCCCCCCGCCCCCCCACGCGCCCTCTCTCCTCCGCCTCCTCCTCCTCTCCGCCTCCCCCCGCCACCTCGTCCTTTCTCTCCGGCAAGCTGACATCACCATCCGGGGACTCCGGGCCCTTCCCCAAAGTTAACCCTTTCGGAGGGGGGGGGAAGCGGGGCAGGGGGCGGGCCTGGGAGCCGGAGGGAGGGCGAGGAGGTAGGAGGATGCAGGGAGGGAGGGAGGGATGCAGGAGCAGAGAGGATGGAGAGATGCCGAGCCGAGACGGGCAGGCATGTAATTGCACAAAGGGTGATGAAGTCGCACTCAGAGACAGAGATGGCAGCGACAGGGCTGGGCACCACCGGGGCCGGCCTGGGGCAGGACGGAGACCGGCAGGGATGGGCAGAAACGGAGAAGGAAGGAATGGAGAGCAGAGAAGCGGGAGGATGGGGAGTTGTAGGAAAGCGGAGAAAGGACCAGGTGGACAGTCAGAGATGTGGAGAGACAGAGAGGTGGGAGAGAGCCAGCCAACCTGAGAGGGGACCCAGAAATGGACAGGTGGAGGGAGAGGCTCGGAAAACAGCTGGAGAGAAAGAGGGATGTGTAGAAAGGGCTGCAGAGAGAGGGGAACAAAGACAGGGGTGGACAGGTAAACAGGTGCAGGGCCAGATGCTGGGGAACATGGGGGTAGACAGAGGGGCAGAGGCAGGGAGAAGGGAGGTATTTGGAGAGCTGCCTACCAGACTCATCTCTGTTTCCCCAGGCCCCCCAAGCCCACCCACCGGGTTCTCCTTTCTGACCCAAATCCACCCACAGCCCAGGGCAGGTGTTTTCAAATCAGCTTGGTTCCAATACCTCCATTTAGGATCCTCTATATTCCTACAGAGAATTTTCCAGAACCCCCTGAGGGTCCTGTGTATTTTTTTAGACCTGTGTGTATTCTCTGTGCCCACCACAGGGTCCCCTAGATCCTCACATGGGCCCCAGTATAATTGTATGTCCTCACTGTAGCACATCCGTGGATCTGCTCAGCTGGATTTCCACGCCATTCAGGACTCCCCCCTATCAGGTACCCAAAGCTGTGAGGCACCCATGTAACCCCCAAGTCCCCTGCAGAGTGTACCCAGGTGCCTCCAGTCTCCTAGTCGGGCACCTTCATTCCATGAAGCACCACTGAGTGCTAGGTCTGACCCAGGCAAGGTTATATGTGCCAACAAAGACCCCTTGCCCTAGGGTGCTCCCATTCTAACGGATGAGGCAAATGATAAAACAAGATAAACAAGCAATGTAGCCCTGGCTGGTGTGGCTCAGTGGATGGAGCGCCAGCCTGCAAACTGAAGGGTCACTGGTTCAATTCCCTGTCAGGGCACATGTCTGGGTTGAGGGCCAGCCTCCTCTGCCCATTTAGGGGTGAACAACAGGCAACCAACTGATGTTTCTCTCCCTCTCTTTCTCCCTCCCTTCTCCTCCTCTGAGAACAAATAAATAAAATCTTTAACTAAAAATTAAAAAAAAGATGAACAAGCAAAATATGTGGTCTGTTAGATGGTCATGATCACTGTTGACGAGACTGAAGCAGGGAAGGGGGACAGGAAGCGTCTGCTGAGTGTGGTATTTTAGATACAGTGCTAACAGGAAACAGGAAGTGTGAAGGCTCCGGTTGGAATTGTACTGGCTGGGTTGTAGGAACATGGAAGGGGTCAGTGTGGCTGAAGGGGAGTGGGGGTGGGGAGTGAGACAGAAAGAGGTAAGGAAACCGATCTTACAGGATCTCAGAAGTCCTGGTTTACTCCTGGTATTCTGTGACTATGAATAGGGTCCATTTTCATTCTTGGGTTAGAATTATCTGATCGCCCTCCTCAGAGGTCATTGTAAAGGCTATGGCTTTTATTTTATTTATTTATTTTTAAAGATTTTATTTCTTTTCAGAGAGAGAGAGGGGAAGGGAGGGAGAAAGAGAGGGAGAGAAACATCAATCTGTTGCCTCTCCCATGCCCCCAACCGGGGACCTGGCCCGCAGCCCAGGCAAGTGCCCTGACTGGGAATTGAACCAGTGACCTCTCAGTTCGAGGCATGATGCCAAACACACTGAGACACACCAGTCAAGCATCAAGCCTATGGTTTTTATACAGTACCTGGGACCACCATTTAGGGCACCATCATATTATACCTATATTTATATATTTATAATGTTATATACAACTACATGTTACATGTGCACATATACTATAGAACATTATGTATAATTTTACATATAAATATATATTATAGATAGACTTGTGCATAGATATATGTAGCTATGGTAGGCTGAACATCTTTCCCAAAGATGTCACATCCACATTCCCAGAACCTGTGAACACATCACCTTGCATGGAAAAGAGACTTTGCAGCTATGATCTGAGTTGAGATGATCCTGGTTACCTCAGTGGGCCCTAAATGTAATCACAAGAGCCCTTAGGAGAGGGAGGTAGGAGGTTCAGCGTCGGAGGAGGTGGGACTATGGAAGCAGAAGCCAAAGTGATGTGGCCACAGTCTGAGGGATGCATGGGGTCTCTACAAGCTGGACAAGGCAAGAAACAGATTATCACCCTGGCTTGTGTAGCTCAGTGGATGGAGTGCTGGTCTGTGAACCAAAGGGTTGCCAGTTCAATTCCCAGTCAGGGCCCATGTCTGGGCTGAGGGCCAGGTCCCTGGTGGGAGGTGTTCAAGAGGCAACCACACATTGATGTTTCTCTCCCTCTCTTTCTCCTTCCTTTCCCCTCTGTCTAAAAATAAATAAATACAATCTTAAAAAAAAAAAAAAGAGAGATTCTCTCCTGGAGCCTCCAGAAGGAACAAAATCCTGCTGACAGCTTGATTTTAGCCCAGTACAAATCCACAAGTCCAAACCCCATTTAGGACTTCTGACCTCCAGAACTATAAAATAATAAATCTGCATTGTTTTAAGCCACCAAGTTTTTTTGGTAATTTGTTCATAGAAGGCGTAGAAAATGAATACAATAGGATACCCTTGGGCCCAGATCCCTGTCTGATGGTTATCCTCTGCAGTGCTACAAACACACACACTCACACACAGAGCTTATATGTTTGTTTTCCCATCTTTGCCCAAAATATCACTCTACACACCCCAGGCCCAGCAGCTGAATACATCTGGGACTGTGGCCCCAACTAAAGCTGACTACAACCTTTTCCTGGAGGAGGGCGCTCATAGAAGACTGGAACTAGGGTTCCTTAAGCCTAGCCCAAACACCTCTGCAGACCAGGCCTGCAGGAACACATTCCCAGCCCTTAGCTTCGAATCTGGTGTGCGGAGGCTGCGAGCTTCCCCAACAACCTTGCCTGGGCATTATGCTTTAAGAATCTCCCTCCTCTGCACCTGGTAGGACCAAAGGAAGATTCTAGGAAAGAAAGTGGGGTGATGAGAGAGGTGAGCACAGGAGCGTGTGGAACGGATAAATGCGGAAACCGAGGCTAAGGGAAGGGGTGCTGTGGGCTAAAGGCTGTGTAGGTCGGATATTAGGAATGAGAACCTAGGGTTCCAGTAAACGATGGGATGGAGGCTCAGATGAAGGGGAAAAGTCCGGCAGGTGAGGGACCAGCTAGCACAACTTGCAACCGTGTCGGGGCGGGACCAGAAGCGAGCGGGGCCACATAAGGGGAGGGGCCTAATTGGGAGCGGCTGGCGCCAGGGCCTAGGGGCGGGGCTTAGCTGGGAGAGGCCGAAAGGCCTAGAATAGGGGCGGAGCGTAACGTGGCGGAAAGGCGCATAGTGTTGAAGAGGGCGGGAAACATGGGTGTGGGAGGGTCCTTGGGAGGCGGGGCAAGACCGGGGATGGGAGGGGCGCACGTGAGGGGCGGGGCCGACCGCGGTATCCCGCAGGGTGGGCAGGGCTTAAGAATCTGGTTTAAGAGTCGGGCAAACCCCTTAACCCCAGCTACGAAATTGGATGGGTGCGCCGGAAATTTCCGGGAGAGACGTGCGTATTTCCGGTAAAGATGGCGGCGCCCAGTAGAGTCAGGTGCGGACGACTCTGTCTTCATTAGCTCCGGCGACTGGAGGCCGGGGGAGGTGAGGTCCGCCCCGCTCTGGCTCACTTTTTCGGACTGGAGGGAGGGGATTCGTTGATGTGATCCAAGGAGGGGCTTGTTGCTTTGAGGCCGGACAGTGGTGTTGCTAAGAGACGGGGATGCAAGCACTAGAGCTAGGAGAGGGAGGGGTTGCTGGGTTGCTAGGGAGGGTGGGTGGGGCCCGTTGCTAGGGAGGAAGGCGGGGCTTGTGACTTTGGGGAAGGGTCCCGTTGGTTTGAAGGAAAGAAAGGGGGTCCTGGTTAAGGTGGGTGTGGGCAGAGTGGTTCGGTGTCATGGTGGGGTGCCGAACTCCCCTAAAACGCCACCTTCTCAGCAGAACCCCAGAATCGACCCTCCAGGACGCCAGAGCTACTTCCGCGGTGACCACCTCGTACCCCCAACACATTCTCCCCTTCTTCACAAACAGCCCATGGCGGACCAAGGCTCGGGGGGCAGCCGCCTCCCGCTGGCTCTGCCCTCAGCCTCCCAGAGCTGTTCTTCGGGGGGCAGCGGCTCCTCCGCGGGGGGCTCGGGCAATCCCCCGCCTCCGCGCAACCTCCAAGGCCTGCTGCAGATGGCCATCACGGCGGGCTCTGAGGATCCAGACCCCCCCCCAGAACCCATGAGTGAGGAGGTAAAGGGTGGGGCGCAAGAAGCTGGGTGAGGAGTGTGGGGACAGCTACATCTTGGGAAGCATGGTTTGGGGGACTAGAAGCTGGAGTTGTCCTAGGTGGGCGGTGGGAGTCCGGGTGTGAGGGCTCAGTAGGCTATAATTTGTGCCAGGTGGGATTATTGTAGAGGCAATGAAGGTCAAATCTCAGAACTGTCTGAGGGGGCAGATCCCTGGGTCCCTTTCTGTGGGAAGCAGGATAGCCCCATGGTAGAAAGAAAAGCTAGAGCTTTCTAGAGACAGACAAGATCGAATTCCGTGTTGTCCAGCTGTGTGACCTTGGGTGTATCACGTAGTCTTTCCAAACCTGAAGTTCCTCATTTGCAAGTTGATGATAAGAATAATAACAGCTCCCTGGCTGGTGTAGGTCAGTGGTTTGAGCGCCGGCCTGCAAACCAAAGGGTCATAGGTTCACTTCCCAGTTAGGGCACATGACTGCGTTGCAGGCCAGGTCCCCAGTGGGGGGTGCACAAGAGGCAACCACACATGAGTGTTTCTCTCTCACTCTTTCTCCCTCCCCTCTCTCTAAAAATAAATAAATAAAAATATTTTTTTAAAAAGAATAATAACAGTACTTCCTAGGGTAGTTCTGAAATTCTAATTTAGGTAGGGCTCCACACAGCATCCGGCACATAGGCAGTGCTCCTGAAGGCAGTTGGGTGTTCATTCTCCTTAAGAGCATAGACTGCGGACAGATTGCTTAGGTCTGACCATAGGCTTTGCGATGGCTGACTGTGTGATCTTGGACAAGTCACCACCTTTCTGTGCCTCAGTTTCCCATCTGTGAAGTGCATAACAATAATACTATATAGGGTGGTTTTGCAGGATAATAGCAATATTTGTTATAAATGACATTTCGTTAATGATAGTGATTACAGTAGAGGCATACCTCGTTGTATGGTGCTTCATGGATGTTGCCTTTTTTACAAACTGAAGGCAAGACTTCCCTGCCCGGCAAAAAGATTAGGACTCACTTTATTGCGATACTTGCTCTATCGCTGTGGTCTGGACCCATACCCACAGTCTCTGAGGTCTGACTGTGTACAAAAACGTATGTTCATGTAGTTCAATGTGTTATTTTTAAGGGTATATTATACACCCAAAGGAACATATGGATATCAGGCTGCCTGAAGCTCAGAGAGCAGGTCTGGCGTGGGGCGCAAGAAGCTGGGTGAGGGATGTGGGGACAGCTAAATCTTGGGAAGCATGGTTTGGGGGACTAGAAGCTGGAGTTGTCCTAGGTGGGCGGTGGGAGTCCGGGTGTGAGGGCTCAGTAGGCTATAATACACCTGCATTTCTTAGTCTCGGCTCTGCTGACATGCTGAGCAGGCAGTTCTGTGGTGGGGGCTGTCCCAGGCCCTGTCAGAGGTGGATCAGCGTCCCTGATGGGCACCTGCTAAATGCCAGTAGTACCGCCCCCCCCCCCCCCGCATGGGCAATAACCAAGAACATCTCCGCACCCTGGCCAACGAATGTCTCCTGGTGCATAAAACCACCCCCAGTGGAGAACCGCTGACCTAGAGATACAGGTTTACAAGTCGTCTGAGGGAAGACAGTTAACACATGTCTATAGGACAATGAGAAGAAAAACAGGCATAGAGCTCTGGCTGGTGCGGCTCAGTGGATTGAGCATCAGCCTAAGAACTAAAAGGTCACTGGTTCAATTCCCAATCAGGGCACACATGCCTGGGTTGTCAGCCAGGTCCCCAGCCGGGGGCATGGGAGAAGCAACCAGTTGATGTTTCTCTCACACATTGACGTTTCTCTCCCTCTCTTTCTCCCTCATCCCTCTAAAAATAAATAAATAAAATCTTAAAAAGAAAGAAAGAAAGAAAACAGGCATAGAAAGATTAACTTCTTGCCCAAATTTATCCCAGACTATGACTATAGAGCTCTCATGTGAGCAGTTAACACAAGGACTGGCCCCAAAAAATTAAAAAAGAAAGAAAGAGAATTCCAGCGGCCAGTTCCGAGCTCTCACCGTATTTGACGGAATAACAGCATTTGATGACTTCCCCCTCCTTGATCTCTTTCTTCATTGAGCTTCTAGAGCAACCCAGTGTCCTGGTCCTCATCTCTTCACTGGCCCTTCCTTGTTGCCCAGCCTCTGAATGGTGGAGGCCCCAGGACTCTTTTCTTGTTTGTGCTCACGTCCTGTGTGACCTCATGTCCTATTGAGCCTTCCCTCGGGCGACTTGCAAACCTGTATCTCTAGGTCAGCGGTTCTCCACTGGGGGTGGTTTTATGCACCAGGAGACATTCGTTGGCCAGGGTGCGGAGATGTTCTTGGTTATTGCCCATGGGGGTGGGCGGTGCTACTGGTATTTAGCAGGTGCCCATCAGGGACGCTGATCCACCTCTGACAGGGCCTGGGACAGCCCCCACCACAGAACTGCCTGCTCAGCATGTCAGCAGAGCCGAGACTAAGAAATGCAGGTGTAGGCCGGACCTCCTCTCTGAGCTTCAGGCAGCCTGATGTCCATATGTTCCTTTGGGTGTATAGTATACCCTTAAAAATAACACATTGAAAAACAAGCTCTAATCTCCTGCTGCCCCACACCTGCTTCTCTGCCGTCATCATCCCTATCTCCTTCTAGTGACGAAAACCAAGGAGTCCTCGCTCTCCACCCCCTGCCCCATAGCCTCTCTTGCCGTGGATCTAGTGACTGGACTTGAGTCTGACAGTAGAAGTGAAGCTCAACAGATGTGTGTTGATGGAAGGAATAATCAGCTCTCAGATACTGACAGTTATTACTGACTGTTGAAAGGAAGAAAAAGTGACTTACTCATAAATTAATTTTTTGACTAACATCCATGCGTGATTGATTAATCCACCCTCCCTTGTCCCCCAGAGGCGCCAGTGGCTGCAGGAGGCCATGTCGGCCGCCTGCCGGGGCCAGCGGGAGGAGGTGGAGCAGATGAAGAACTGCCTCCGAGTGCTGTCCCAGCCTGCGCCCTCCCCAGCCGGGGAAGCTGACCTGGCTGTGGACCAGCAGGAACGCGAGGCGGCCCTGGAGCTGCTGGCCGACTTGTGTGAGAACATGGACAACGCTGCAGGTACAGCCTGGCTGCCCCCCGGCCACCGGGGCCTGCCCCTGCTGCCTCCCGGGCTCCCTCTCTCCGGCCTTCTTCTCGGCCCATGCCCTGTGCAGCTCCACCCTCATCCTTTGCTTCCTCTCTCCAGCATCCCAGCCTCCAGCTGGTCCCCTCTCCGAGTCTGGCTCTGACTCTGGTCCCAGGTGGGACTGCCCTGTCCCTCCCTGTTTGGTCCCCTTGCCATCAGGAGCAGTGACGGCACCTTCTCTCACCCCACACAGCCAGTCTGGTGACAAGCTCAGTCCACTGCCTGCTTGATACACCCGCAAGCTGGCCATTTCCCCTTGGTCTGCTGGCAGTCCACCGTCTCTCCCTAGAGTGAGAGAGAGGAGGCCTCCTCAAGGGGTGTCCTTTGATCAGAGACCCAGAGTGAGGACCCGAGTTGTGGGATTAGCTCTGGCGGGAGTGGCCAATGCAAAGGCCCTGAAGTGGGAGCGTGCCTGGCAGGTTCAGGAGCAGCTGTGAGGCAAGCCCAGCAGCACGAGTGGGTGGGGGCGAGGGGCGGGAAGCAGCCCTGGGCGTGCAGGGCCTTGCAGTCTGGGGTGGGCACTGGGGGGGTGGTCCCACATTGAATGCCACAGAGCCCATAGAGCCTGGAGAAGAAGGAGATGGCACTTGCATTTGGAGGGGTGTCGTGTGGTCACTGAGGGCATGGGTCTGTCTCTTCTGGTTGCTAATGTACATGGAATCGCAGAACACGTGACCTGCTTCACCGAGTGTGAGGTTTTCAAGTTCCTTCCGTGTTGTGGCCCATGTCGAACTCCTTTTTTTTTTTTTTAAGATTTTATTTATTTATTTTTAGAGAGGGGAAGGAAAGGAGAAAGAGAAGGAGAGAAACATCAACGTGTGGTTGCCTCTCGCACGCCCCCTACTGGGGACCTGGCCTGCAACTGAGGCCTGTACCCTGACTGGGAATCGAACTGGTGATGCTTTGGTTTTCGGCCTACGCTAAATCCACTGAGCCACACCAGCCAGGGCCTTTCAAACTTTATTCCTTTTGTGGCTGAGTCTCCAGTGTACGCATAGAGCACACACTGTGTGCATTCTCCAGCTGACAGGCATCTGGGCCGTGTCCCCCTTTGGCTGTTCTGAGTGATGCTGCTCCGAACATGGGGGTGCAAATGTGTCTGAGTCCCTGCTTTTGGTGCTGCTGGGTATACGTGTAGGAGTGGTCATTTGGTGACTCTGCCTTAAACTGTTTCACCAAAACCACCACTTTACTTGCACAAACAGGCGGTGAGCCGGGATTTGCTGACTGCGGTGCAGTGTGTGGTTCTCCCATGGGAGTAGTGCTGATTGTCACAAAGACTGTAGGGTCCGTGCTGGCATGTCATAGGCTGGAGCCTGGCACCCTACCCCCCCAAATGCTAACATTGTTGAGATGCGCTGACCTTGGAGGAACCCCTGGCTGGGTGTTAGAGAGAGCCAGCTCCTGTTGGCAGGTTCCCCCAGGAGTCAGTCTGCTCTCGCCGCCATTACAAAGGACCATGGACTGGGCAGCTTAAACAACAGGCACCAATTTTCCCCCAGACCCGGAGGCTGGAAGTCCAAGATGAAGGTGTCAGCCAGGCTGGCTGCTTCTGAGGCCTCTCTCCGTGGCTTTTACATGGCTGTCCCCTCCCTGTGTCCTCACATGGTCATCCCTCTATATCTCTCTGTGTCCTAATCCCTCCTTATCAGTGCACCAGTGGTTGAGTTGGGGCCAATCTTGTGATGCTGTGTCACCTTAATTGCCTATTTTTTTTTAAATTATTTATTTATTTTTAGAGGGGGAAGGGAGCGAGAAAGAGAGAGAGAAACATCAATGTGCGGTTGCTGGGGGCCATGGCCTGCAACCCAGTCATGTGCCCTGACTGGGAATCGAACCTGCGATGCCTGGTTCGCAGCCCGCGCTCAATCCACTGAGCTACGCCATCCAGGGCAATTGCCTATTTTAAGGCCCCCATCTCTAGACACAGCACATTCTGTAGCACTGAGGGGTCAGGGCTTCAACATACGAGTTTGAGGGCACACAGCTCAGCCCATAACACTGGCTCTCCCCACCCCTCTCTGTGGCACAGACTTCTGCCAGCTGTCGGGCATGCACCTGCTGGTGGGCCGGTACCTGGAGGCGGGGCCTGCGGAGCTGCGGTGGCGGGCAGCACAGCTCATCGGCACGTGCAGCCAGAACGTGGCGGCCATCCAGGAGCAGGTGCTGGGCCTGGGCGCCCTGCGCAAGCTGCTGCGGCTGCTGGACCGGGACCCCTGTGACACGGTGCGCGTCAAGGCCCTCTTTGCCATCTCCTGTGAGTGTCCTGGGGGCTGCCAGGGAGGGGCCTGGGTTCCCAGGGGCTGGAGCTGGCCACAGAGGTGGGCGCTGTGGGGATTTGCTTGGGGGCAGAGGGAGAGGGGCCTCATTTGTTCATTTACCTCCAGTTCCTGTGGGAGATCCTTGCTGGGTGCAGAGAACAGGGTGCTGAGCTCACCAACCCCCTGCTTGCCAGAGAACCAGATCCTGACGACACAGGAGCGTCACTCAGCTCGAGCGCTCGGTGCCCATCAGGGTCCTCTGCCTCAGCCCTGCTGGCATTACTGGTCATGGGGAGGCCAGGCCGTTGCTGAGCCCGTTAGAGATGCCGGCAGCTGTCCCCCATGCTGCCTCCTGGGACACGGGTGCCAGGGGAGCGAGGGCAGGATGCCAGGATCCACGGGCATCCGCTCTGGGCCAGGCCCTGTGCAGAGCTTAATGTGTTTAGTCCTCACACACACCCGCTGATTCTCCCATGTACAGAAAAGGCCAGGCCCGGAGCCTAAGTGCCAGCCCAGGGCACCCCATGGAGCTGGGGTGTGAGCCACGCCAAGATCACCGAGTGCTGGGCCCTCCTCTATCTGCGTGTGCCATGCTGAGAGCCCCTGTTTGACTGTCCTCTCTCTTTTTTTCTTCATTGACAGCTTTATTGAGATAAATTCACAGGCCATACAATTTATCCTTTTTTAAAATTTAAAAAAATTTTTTAAAGATTTTATTTATTTATTTTTAGAGAGGAAGGGAGGAAGAGAGAGAGAGAAACATCAGTGTGCGGTTGCTGGGGGCTGTGGCCTGCAACCCAAGCATGTGCCCTGACTGGGAATCGAACCTGCGATGCTTTGGTTTGCAGCCCGCACTCAATCTACTGAGCTACACCAGCCAGGGCAATTTATCCTTTTTTAAAGAAAGATTTTATTTCTTTATTTTTAGAGAGAGAGGAAAAGAAGAAGAGAGAGAGAAACATCAGTGTGCAGTTGCCTCTCATGCACCTCCTAGTGGGGACCTGGCCGGCAACCCAGGCATGTGCCCTGACTGGGAATTGAACCCGTGACCCTTTGGTGCACACACCTGCACTTACTCCACTGAGCCACAGCAGCCATGGCCAATTTATCTTTTTTTAGTGTACAATTTAGTACTTTCAGTATATTTACAAGGTTATGCAGCCATCAGCACTGCCTGATTACAGAAGGTTTCCTCACCCCCAAAAGAAACCTTGTACCTACTAGCAATCCCTCCACACGCCCCTCCCACTATCCTCTAGGCATCACTGATTGCTTGTTGTCTCTGTGGACTCGAGGGGTCTGGACGTGTCCTGTAAACGGAAGCACATGACATGTGCCTTGTGCGACTGGCTCCTCTCACTCGGCCTCAGTTTCCAAGGATCATCCGAGTTTATAGCAGGTCCCAGGGCTCATGCCTTCTTATGGCCGAATCATATTCCACTCACAGATGGACCACATTTAGTTCATCCGTTCTCCAGCTGAATATTGGGGTGGTTTCTATCTACGTTTTGGCCCTTGTAAGTCAGGCTGCTGTGAACAGGTGCAGACCAGTTTCCGGATGGACATTTGTTTTGATTTTCTCTGGGGTGTATACACCTGGGGATAGGATTGCTGGGCCATGTGGCAGCTCCGTATTTGTTTGAAGCTTGAGGAACACCCGTCTCCTCTGCTCCTTGCACTGCGACACCGGTCACGTGGCATGTTCTGCAGCTGCGTTCTGGCACTAACTCCGGAGTCAGCGCAGACCTCTCCAGCTGAGGTCTGCCCCACGAGGCAGCGCCTACTTCAGATACCAGTGGCATGCCTGGGCCTCCCATACTTCCAAGGGGCCCACAACCCCCCTCCTCGGGTTCCATAATTTGCTAGAATGCCTCACAGAGATCTGGGAAACAGTGGCTTACGTTTGCTGGTTGATTAAGGAAGGATGTGACAAAGGACACAGATGAACGGTCAGATGAAGAGGTATGCAGGGCCAGGTCTGGAGGGGTCCTGAGTGCAGGAGCCTCTGTCCCCATGGGGTTTTTGTGTCACCTTCCGGGCACGAGGGCATGTGCGCCAACCCGGAAGGTCTTGGGACCCCATCTTGGAGGGATTTTGTGGAGGCTTCCTCACGCAGGCAGGCAGGATGGGTCTCTGATTCCATTTGCAACCCCTCTCCCTTCTCTGGAAGATGTGGGGCGGGGCTGAAAAAGTTTAGTTGCTGATCGTGGATTGGTCTTTCTAGTGACTAGTCCCCACCCAGGAGCCCACCCAGAGCTTCCTCATTAGAAGAAAGGATGATCCTATCACCAGGATGTGCAAGAATTTCCAAGTATCAGGAGTGGGGAAAGGAGACCAAATATTTATCATGTCCCCTGGGTGGAGAATGGGGAGGGGTTGAATAGGAGGAGATTCTGGGAGGGAGGGAGGACTTTCTGGCATGGGTGAGGGAAGGAGTGCAACTTGGCCACAAAGGGCAGACAGAGGGATTGGTTGCTCCAGAGGTGCCAAGAGCCGGAGCTGGGTCGGGGAGGGATGGGGCAGAGTTTTCTTCCAATAGCTTGCATTAATTGTATCTCAATAAAAATACACTTAAAAAAAAAAGATAATGAGCTCTGGGTTGGTATGGCTCAGTGGATTGAGTGCTGGCCTGCCGACCAAAAGCTTGCTGGTTCAATTCCCAGTCAGTGCACATGCCTGAGTTGTGGGCCAGGTCCCTGATTAGGGGTGTGCGAGAGGCAGCCGACCAGTGTATCTCTCGCACACTGATGGTTCCCTCCCTCTCCCTCCAAAAAAATTAAATAAATAATAATGCTTGTGAAGCACAGGCCCATAAAAATTGATGGTGGTGATGATGGTGGGGATGGTGACCATGACCTTTAGGCATACCATCTCTCCCCTCCCTCAGGCCTGGTCCGGGAGCAGGAGGCTGGGCTGTTACAGTTCCTCCGGCTGGACGGCTTCTCTGTGTTGATGCGGGCCATGCAGCAGCAGGTGCAAAAGCTCAAGGTGAAGTCAGCATTCCTGCTGCAGAACCTGCTTGTGGGCCACCCAGAACACAAAGGTGGGGCCGCTGGGACGGGGCCTGGGGTGGTCCTGGAGGATGGGTGGGTGGAGGGAGGGAGTGCACAGAAGAGGGCTGGGGAACACCTCTCTGACCCCCGAGGCTCTTCCCTCAGAGACCCTGTGCTCCATGGGGATGGTCCAGCAGCTAGTAGCCCTCGTCCGGACAGAACACAGCCCCTTCCACGAGCATGTGCTGGGAGCCCTGTGCAGGTGTGCTGGGGCCCCAAGGGAATGAGTCCTGGGGGTGGGAATGGCACCACTAGGCTCCGGCCTCTTTCCTGGGACTGAGGAGTCTGGGGCTTCCCCCTGGGGAATACTGGCCCTTTCTGAGCCTCAGTTTCCTCCCCTGTAGGGGGAGTGACACAGCAGCCCACAGAGGAGGGGGACAGGTTCTCTTTCTTTGACATCTCAACCCCACACAGCACAAGCAGATTAGCATCTGAAAAAGTGATAGGATGGAGCAGCCCGGTGAATGGGAGGCAGCCTCCTAGTGTGGCTTGGCTTCAGGCCAGACACAGTGTCCTGTTTTGCACAAGTCCCTGGGACGGGCTGAGGGCAGTGTGAGATCCATGTTGCAGATGGGGAAACTGAGGCCTGGTGTGGAGAGCTGTCTTCCTTACCTTCCTGGTAGCACTGTGGGGTGGAGTTGTGTGGAGGGAGGTCCCTAGGATTTCTGTCCTGTCCCTGCAGCCTGGTGACAGACTTCCCCCAGGGCATGCGGGAGTGCCGGGAGCCAGAGCTGGGCCTGGAGGAGCTCCTCCGACACCGCTGCCAGCTGCTGCAGCAGCACGAGGAGTACCAGGTGGGCTGCAGGGCCAGACCCTGGGGACTCACCATGAGGTCTGCAGGCAGGCCCCGCCCCATCCCTGCCCTCTGCATCTCTGCCTGTTCTCCACGCTGTGTGTTTCATTCACGTGTTTCTCTTATCACCTGTTCAGCAAATGTGCCTGCCACCTCCCATGTGCCTCCTGCTGTCCGCAGGGAGAGGGTGGAACTCTGGGTTTCTTAAAGGGTTAACGAACTTATTTAATTATTATCCAGATCGTTTACATCAGATTCAAATATTTAGAAATTAAATATTAGGCCAATAAATAACAAATATATGATAAAGAGCAGCCAACTAAATATTTCATTAAATAAATAGCAAATATGCAATAAATAACAACTCATTAGATATTTAATTGGATAAGTGATAAAATTCACTAGCTAGTGGGGAAGATAAGTAACAAATCCATCATTACTCATTAGATATTTAATTATATAGACATTAAGTAACAAATAAGTGGTAAATAGCTTAGATACTCAAAATGATAACAAATCACAAATAAGTGATAAACAGCAACCTGTCCCCTAGCCACCCAGTACCTCTCCCAGTTCCTGTGGCTTTCCTGAGATAATCTGCACAAACAGGCCCATGTGCCCGTGAATTCTGTTCCTCTTCCTCCGTGTTCTGCCAGCTCAGCCTGCCCTGACCACCACCGTGGTTCCTGCCACATCCCCTTTCCTAGCATCTCCGGAGAGCGTGGCTGCGCTCTCTTTCCTCTCTCCTTGTATTGGTACATGGTAGGGACAGCCTCTCGTTCCCCTGCCCTTCTTGATGGACACATAGGCTGTTTCCACTCTTGGGCACTAACAACATTGTTAAAGAATAACCTTTCACATATGTTACTTTCTATGTGTGAGTATGTCTACAGAACACATTTCTAGCCCTGGCTGGTGTGGCTCAGTGGATTGAGCACCCGCCTGCAAACCAAAGGGTCACTGGTTCCATTTCCAGTCAGGGCACAGGCCTGGGTTGCAGGCCAGGTCCCCAGAAGGGGGCACATGAGAGGCAACCACACATTGATGTTTCTCTCCCTCTTTCTCCTTCCCTTCCTCTCTCTAAAAATAAGTAAATGAAATCTTAAATTAAAAAAAAGAACTCATTTTTAGAAAGTGAAAGGCCCAGTTAAGGTACGATAAAGGTGAAGTTACAGGATTAGGAGCCATGTCATTAACTACTGCCAAGATGCTCTCCCTAGGGGTTGAACTGGTCTACCTTGCAGCCACAAGGGTGCCCAACATCCTGGCCAGGACAGGGTGGCTTCAAACTGTTTGACCTGTTTTTCAAGTTGATTGGCGAATCCACTTTATATTTGCATTTCTCCCACGAGTGAGGTTGGGCCTTTTCCCCCTTATGAACTGCTCTTTTCTATCCTTTGCCTGTCAGCTCTTGGGTGGTGGTTTCTGCAGTTGATTTAAGTATGAACCCTGTTATCCTCGTGTGATGAGTCACTATTTTTTTCCACCAACTTGGTTTTCTTTCATTTTTGCTTCTGGCATCTTTTTGCTGTGCAGATACCTTTTATGTTTATGCGGTTCAATCTGTCAGTGCTTGCTTTCTTGGTTTCTGGGGTGTGTATCCGTGGAAGGGGTTCTAGGGAGGGATAAGTAGGGCAAGTTATGTTTGGGAGTTAGAAAGAGCCCGAGGGAACTGAAGTGAGGACAGACCAGCAGAGTGTGGTCAGAGGCTGGGTGGCAGCAGGGTCTAGTTCAGTAGTCCAGATGCAGGTGAGACGAGAGACAGCGAGTCACAGATCTGAAAAGAGGTTGGAGGACCCTGGGAGGCTTCTGGGGCTGGCAGGGGTCACGGAGGGAAGAGGAGCCGCTCTGGGTGCAGGGCGTGTTGGAGGCAGGGGCCGGCCTCTGCACTTAGGGCCCCTGCTCTTGCCCCCAATTCAGGAGGAGCTGGAGTTCTGCGAAAAGCTGTTACAGACCTGTTTCTCCAGCCCAACGGACGACAGCATGGATCGGTGAAACCTGGTGGCTTCTGGCCCCCTCTCCGTTGGAACCCTAGGCCTCTTGCCTCCCTCCTATGAGAGCAGGGAGGCCCCTGCCCAAGGGAGAGCAGGGCCTTGTGGGTCCCAGGCCAGGACGTGCCAGCCCGTCTCTGCTCACCTCCCCAGAGGAGCGCTGAGAAAGGCACCAGCCCCTTGGACCCCCACCTAATGTCTCCATTCCCCCTTATGTGTCCACACTGTCTTCCAATAAAGGTGTTTCTTCTCCTCTTCCGCCTTTGTCACCTTTGGAGGGTGCCTTGGGAGGACAGGAGGGGCTTGGTCTTAGGGGACCTTGGGAGCCACTGGAGGGGGTGGCAGTGCACAGCGCTGGGGAATAAAAGTGTTGCTCTCTAAAATCCAGAGCCATCGTCTCCTCCCATTCTCCCGGCCTCTTAAGAGGGAGCGTGGGGCACACCCACTCACTTCCTGGCCACCCATCATCTCCGATTTCTCTTCCATTTGAGGAATCCCTTATCTTAGATCTTCACACTCTGAGTCCTTAGGTGGAAGCCATTTTCTTTCCCAGCATCCTGCAGGGGTACATCATGTAACTTCTGCCCCACCAATCAGAGCCCGCCAGCAGCCTGCTGGGGAGCTACTGACAGAAACTGGGAGCACGTGCACAGGGCACTGGAGGCTGTCAGTGCTGCCCGGATGGTGGTGGCCGGTCTGTGCTTGGGTGTGGGTTCATTCCCAACTGCACCCACCACGTGAGCCTTCTCTCCAGCCTTCTCAGAGATTTGTGGGGGAGTAGGGGGTGGGCGGGCACAGAGGAACTGCCTTACCTCCTTTAATAAACTGATTTTCAGATTAGGCCAAGGAGGTCTTGCCGTTTGCAACCAAGAGCCCTGGCTGTTGTTTTTCAGATGAGGAAGCTGCGCCCAGGGTGGTTAATCCATGGCCAAATTCACACGGCAGGATTCAGACCTGGGCTAATCCTGAAGCCGTGCTCCTCTGCCCTGTATCTGCTTGCCTAGCTCTGTTGCATGCCAGACTAATTCCTCTATTGTGGGATGTAGCTTGTACTCCTGGGATTTTGGAGGAACCGATTATTTTCACCCTTCTTCCCAAATTCAGGATAAATGGAAAAGGTAGTTACAGGATCCAAGAACTGGAGGTCAGACGCTAACTATTACTGTTAAAGCCAGTCAGAGAAAGTGGCTATTATAAGTCTTGCTGCTACTTCCCCCCAGCGTTAGACACCCTTGTCCATCTGGTCACAGACAGCACTGGGCAAGCACGGACCTCTGCTTGCCAACCTTCACACCTGCAGCTCCAAGCTGTGAACATGACACATGCCACTGAGGTTGTGGTTGACTGTCACTCAGCAGTTGCCACCTGCTACAAGGACCAGAAAAACATCACATGCAATAAATAACGCTGTAAATAGCAAGGGCCAGACCAGACATGGCTGGAAAATCAAATCAGCAAGTGCAAGAGGAGATGACAAAGATTAAAGCAATTAGAAGCTAACAGATGTGAAAGACAAATGCCTAATTGGCGTCATTGAAACAGAGAACCCCTAGAACAGGAAAATGTACTTAAATATGATTCAATAAAATGTCCCTGTAATGAAAAAGGTAACTGCAAGTTAAAAATAAGTAAAAGTTGAGTCCTTGCCCGAATTTTCTCGTCTTGCCTTTACAGTGGACTTGGGCAAGGGGTGGCTGTGAAAGTTGGGGAAACAGGCCAGACGGGACCTTACTGAGTATTGATACAAGGTCTGGAAGGACCTTTCCAGTCGATGGTGTTAGAGGATTCTCTGTGCGGCGACTGACAACAGTCAAGACAACAGGCAAATGCCTGGTGGGGGACTGAAGGCAGCCTGAAGCCAGAGAGGGCGTCGAGAAACCCGGGCCGGATAAATGCTCCTGGCCCTGGTTGGACAGAAATCCGGCAAGAATTTCCCAGGAGCTGGACCCTGGAGACAAAAAAAAAAAAAAAGGAGTATGAATGGAGGAAAATCCTGGGGCAGAGTTTTCTCTGGGTTTTGGAACGTAGTCAGAAAGAACACCGGGCGTGCAGTGGCGCCTGCGCATTGGGTTGCCTGGGTTTATTCGAGGAGAAACCGTTGGCGCCAACCAGCGCAAGCGCACCTGAGGCGGCGGCCGTCTAGGTGGGCGGGGTGGGGAGCGGGAGGGCTCCACGCGCACGCGCACTGTCATCTCCGGCCCCACCCCCACCCCCCGCACACCGAGACGACCGCGGGAGGGCGGGCTCTTCTGCGTGCCCCTACGCTGGGGGAATTGTGGGATAGTGGCGGACGGATTCGGGCGTCGGAGCCTGTGAAGCTGATTGCAAAGCCGGGACACCCGGCCTCTGTGAGGAAGGTGCGGTGGAGGAAGTGGGCCTCGAGTTCCGTCGACCGCTGCTCAGCACTGCGGCCTACTCAGACTGAGGAGGAGGACGTCTTCCCCAACGGGCCTTGACTTTGCCGCGGGGCGCTGGACCTGGGAAACCGGGGCGGCTCCTCCGCTGAGGGCCTGCGCGGGCCTCTCGACCCCGCTGACCTCCCACAGCCCCCGGTCGGACTCGCGCCCACATTTCCGACGGCCTTACACCCAGCCGGCGCGGCCCCCCCGAACTCTGGAACTGGGCGCCCGAGGGCCCCCCGCTCCGTAGGCTCGAGGACGCGTGCGCGAGCCCCGGCCCCGACCGCAGCGCCTGCGCCCTCCTAAGACCCCGTCGCCCCCCGCCCCCACGAACCGGGCTCCCGAACAGAGCCAGAGCCGCTGGCGGCGGGGCGGGGGGGGGGCGCCCCGATGAGCCCCGAGTGCGAGGAGCCGCCGCCCCCCCGCGCAGGTAAGCGGCCGCTCGGGGCCCTTCCCCAGGCCGGGCACCCGGAGTTCCGCGTCCCGTCCCTGGCAGCCCCGCCTGATATCTTCGAGTTTTCTCAGCCTTTCTCCTTGGACCCTTCCTTCCTCTTGGGGCTCCCTTCAGTCGGGTTCCCCAGTTCCTTAGACTCTTTTTCTCAGCACCCCCAGTTTCTTCCGCGGTTGGTCTTCCCCACCCCACCTCCTTCCTTGTGGGCGCACCTCTAGCCTCTTATTTAGTGCGTTCCCCTTGGCCTTGCTCTCCTCCAGCCCACCTTCGCCAGCCTCTTCTCCCTCTGTTCCCCTACCGCCCCCTATGCCCTGAGACTCAACCCCACTCCTCTACTGACCCCCACCCTCATATTTCCTTCCTCAGACCTTTCTCGTGGACACCCTATGCTCCCTTGGTCCCTGTCCCCTGCCATCGACACCATGGCATCTGACTCTCACCCTTGGGCTCAGGACGACTGCAGCAGGGAGTGGGGCTTCCCTCCCTGACTGGGCTCGCCTGCGCTGTGGCTTGGACTACTTGTGAGCTGGGCTTTGGGAGGTACTTCTGTGGAGCAGCCACCCCTGGGTCCCATTCTGTGAGACACGGCCTGCCGAGGGCATGTCTGGGAGCCTGGTGCTGGGTGCCGAGGGAGGGGGACCAGTCCTGGGAGACTCAGGCAGAGCGGGACAGTCACTATGACTAGCCCTGGGATAGAGGTCACTTGGGGTGCCACGGGAGGCCCAGGGGCGAGGCACTGGTGAGACGGGCTCAGCGGGTGGGGTTTTCTGTCTAGGAAGGGTGTGTAGGAGGTGACAAACCGTGGTGGGAAGAAGGGCCTTCCCTGTGGAAGGACCAGGACATGCACATAGGTGCAGGTGGGACCCCAGGAGCCATCTGGGTGTAGATGTGTTGAGAGGGAGTGGCCTGACTGCCTGGGTGGAGGGGGGGCTGCTCGTTCAGGCGCCTGGAGGGTGGCCTGGATGGGTCTGTCCAGCTGCTCTGTGACATACCCGCACCTCTGTACTGGCGGCCCAGACGTCACCACTACCACCAGCCTCAAAAGCAGGCTGTTTCTGCAAAGGAAGGAGGTTGTCAGGGGTGGAATGGGGCTGCGAGTTGCATAGCAACGTCAGTGGGGTGTGAAGTGGCGCCGCCCTCAGTGCTCCGTTGCTGGGGGTCTCAGAGTGCAGGGCGCTGGTACCGGGCAGCGTTGAGGGTTTATTACTTGGCTGGGGATGACTTGCTGTAGTGGTTTTCACCCGGAGGTGATCGTGTCCCCCTGGGGACACTTGGACGGTGGTTGGAGACATTTCTCGTAGCAGCTGGGGCAGGGGGTGCTGCTGGGGTCTGACAGGCCGAGTGCGGGGGGTGCTGGGGAACACCCTGCGGTGCCCCGGACAGGGCCCACGGCAGCGTGTGGGCAGGGCCACTGGGGCTGCACCCTGCTCTTTTGCCCCACCCTGCTCTTTTGCTTGGGTGTGATGTCCTTTCGGCCTGTCTGCTCCGTTGCTTCTCCATAGTGGCTGTGTGCTGTGTATTTTGATACACTTTCACATTGTTGGTCATTTGTTGTCAGGCCATTCACTGTTTGTTTGCATTAGAGGAGGGGGCTCGTCCTGCTCCTCAGGCCCAACTACTGTTTTCCAGGCTCTGTGGCCAGGTGACCTTCAGTTTTCATTCATTCGACAAGTACCTTTAGCTGTGGGCCTGATCTTACACTGGGTCCTGGGAAACAGGCATCTGGTGGGGGGAGGCAGGTGACCCAACAGGCAGACGCTGTCACAGAGCCCTGAGATGCTGTCACAAGGTGACCACGGAAGCTGTGGAAAGTGTGGAACAGGCCCCTCACGCAGTCAGGGGAGGCTTCTTGGAGGAAGTGGTGTCTGCGCTGAAGCCTGAAGGACCCAGGAGGAGCTGGGCAGGCCCGAAGAGCTGGAGGAGAGCAGAGGGAGCAGCTGGGCCAGGGCAGAGGCGAGGGCGCAGAGGAGCAGTCAGGTGTGGCGGGAGAGTTGAGCGCCATGCGGGTGGCAGCCAGAGAGGAGGTGAGAGAGGCCTGGGAGTGCCGCTGAGAGTGAGAAGCCTCCCTGGCAGCCTGGGCGGCCCAGACTCCGGGCTCCTCATGGGCAGGCCCTGGGCAGGCCCTGGGCAGGCTCGTCAGAGCTGGGGGTGGGGACACGCCCTCCTTTCAAGGCCAATCCTGTTTTTTCCCCGTGGACCTTCCTGGGGGAAGTGTGGTCTTACCCTAACACTCTGAGACTCTAAGACACTCTGAGGTATCTCGCAGGCAGGCGAGGAGCTGAGGCTCTGTGGGGTTCAGTCCCTGGCCTCAGGCCACTGAGGTTTCAGTCCAGACAGGCAGGACTGGGACCCAGGCCTTCCGACTTCTGACATCACCTTGCAACACTCACTCTGCCGCCCGGTTTCCC